CATCCTCCACTTCACCTTCCGGGTTCCCCGCCCCCCATCGTTCTAGACTTCACTACCGCAGCCCCGCGTGAAATGCATGAGCTTCGACTGCCGCTGAGGCTGCACCTCTGTCTCTCCATCTGTCGATTCCCAATTGCATCCAGGATTTTAGCTTGGGGAGCTCGGGCGCGGGGAGTCGGGCCCCGGTCTGCGAGTTGATCCCAATACAAGCTAAATACGGACTCGCGGTGTTCTGTACACCACACCCGATTAATTAGGTTGGGAGTCCTCTGTTAATGGCGATGGTTGAAGCCCCAGGGAAATTCAAATCCGCACTGTAGGCGACTCCAAGTCGTGGGTTGTAAAAATAGGGGAAAGCAAGCATGCAATTGTGCATCAATTCGCCCATAAGAGAGCTCAAGCACGGAATAAAAAGTGCCACGGGGACGAGATTAGTTCGGGTGCAGGAGTCGAACCCCGGTTTGCGAAAGTAGATGTGATGTGTGGTCCATGCAGACTCGCGGTGTTCAGTACACCACACCCGATTAATTACTTCTGGTGTTCCTGCATGAACCCAGGCTATTACGTGAGTAAATGACATCCTTGACCGGTCCCCATAGCCGCTTTCGTCGCGTGAGGCACACATATCACAAAATTGCGGCGACGGAAGTTGAACTTAGAGGGAGAATCAGGATATAAAAAAGGAGGAATGGCTCGCGAAGTTCGGGCCCAGCCCGGATTTCGGGTTGATAATTTCTGCTCGAATTACGATTACACGATGTTCCATATGCCACACCTGATTAGTTGCTTGGGGGGGGCCTGCGCTGGAGGTATGAACTGGGCCGGAGAAATTCAAATCGGAAGTGAATTGTAAGTTGAACAAAAATTGAAAAATCAATAACTGGCGTCAGCATCAATTTGCAGGACAAGTGGCTCGAGGCGAAAAATAAAAGAGGGTTGGAACTTCCTGCCGCAGGGTTTAAAAACTTCCAGATCCACTGCGGTGTCTCTTGGTCCAATAGAAAATTTCCACGCACCCCAAAATGTGTCGCACAAATGCAGATACTCAAGTGAGGTTACAAGGCTCGATGTTGACAAGTTATGGTACATACCACTTACCAGGGATCCACCTCAATATGCAATATGGAGTGCAAGATTGTAAGGAGTGATGATTTATATTGACACAGACAACACATACTTAGAGGGTCATTATTTATCCCCTCACAACTCCCGGTTGAAAGGGAGCCCAGTTGAACGGGATTATGCTACAGTTTTCCACTCCACATCAGATCCCATGTGAATGAATGGTATCCATCGTTGGTATGGAGGTTTCCGAGCCTTCAATTTTTCCACTACAAGCTGCAGTGCTTCAGTTGTATCGCTCGTCTGAGGCTGTCAACCCTCCCGAAATAGATGAGAGTAACACTTCTCGGCAACAGTGGTCCATCCCGATCATTCATTGACCGTAGTGTCCTGATTGAATTTCGGAAACCCGCTGCAATGAATCCACCTCCCAGATGGACGGATTCATTCATGAGTTGAGCATCACCCATAGCTGACTGACATGCAGCAAGAAACACAAACTCTGCAGTTGAGAGATTCATGTGGAGAATGGTTTCCAACTCAAGACACCTTGGTAGAGCAGCAGATGGCTTTTGGTTGGTTTACATAAGTAGATTTTGTTTCCCATGGCATGCCAAATGAAGCCGAGAGCAATCCTGCAGTCGGAGCTTTACAGCATACAGTGTTGCTTAGGGCCCTTAAAGGCACATATCTGAAGCAGCCTGGGAGGAGACAGTATCCTCTCTGGGAGTTGAAAGAGAAGGCAAACAAATTGACTACTTACATAATGTAAAAGCAACCCGGGCGCAGGGAGTCGAACCCCGCCCTGCGAGGATCCTCATGATTGGCCTTTTTTTCATGAGCCTCGTTGTGCACCACACACCACGCCCGAATATTTATTACTGTCCGACTCACGGATATATACCGTCAAACGGTGGGATGAGCCCAGATTTAATTTCGCCTCCCCGGATATTAATGCCGCACAGAACATTGCCGCGGCCCGAATCCCGAATCCCGGCGCGCTTGAATCCCGACTGAGGCCCTGATTGTCATGTACGCTAGTACTCCTCCGCACACCAAAATCACTGGCAAGCAAAGCATTTAACATGAAAATCCACCTCCTCCTCTAGGGCACGTCCCGCGAATGAATAACAGAAGAAAAGAAAAGAATTATCCCCGCAACTTCGAAGTTCGGGCGCAGGGAGTCGAACTCCGGTCTGCGGGCTAATCTTTCCTCTATTTTTGATAAACATACCCGCGGTGCACGCTACACCACACCCAAATAATCAACCTTGCCCGGAATCCGGATCCAAGTAAGAGGCTCGAGCCCAGATTTCATTTCACCGTTGATACAGTAAATTCGACGGACACAATGACTTGACAGTTGACGCGCTAACGTCTTCAGTTGAGTCGAAGCCCCGCGAACGAAATAAAAAGACAAGGCACATGAAGCTCGGGCGCAGGGAGTCGAACCCCGGCCTGCGGGCGCATTTATCGTTCGCATACACATAAACCCGCGGTGCACCGTACACCACACCCGAATATCTATCCTCATCCAACTCACGGACATATACCGTCAAACGGTGGGATGAGCCCAGATTTAATTTTGCCTCCGTGAATATTATGCCGCACAGAACGTTGCCGCGGCCCGAATGGCGAATCCCGACGCGCGCGCTTACATCCCGACGCTGATGTACGCTAGTACTCCGCACACCAAAATCACTGGCAAGCAACTTTGAAAGCAATTAAAATTAAAATGCGCTGGCACGTCCTCCTCGAAGGCAAGCCCGCGAATGAATAAAAACAAGAAAAGAAAAAGGAAGGCTCGAGCTTCGAAGTTCGGGCGCGGGGAATCGAACCCCAGCCAGCGGACTAAATGAATATCGCGGCGGTCCAAGGATACCCGCGGTGCACCGTACACCACGCCCGAATACTTACCCTTGCCCGGCTCACGTAAATATACCAAACGCTCTCTCGACTCAGAGTTTATTTCCTGTAAATGCGATGTGGATTGTCGCGGGCCGAGACCCGCATCCCGACGCCCACACACACACAAATCAAATCACATCAAGCAAAGCAAATAAAATCCTCGTCTCGAATAAAAAAGCGAAGCGTCGAAAGATATAATATAAGAATAGCTAAAGTGTCCGGCCGCGGCTCTCCCTCGCGCGGCTCCTCCCAAATTCCTCCAACCCCCTCCTCTTACACTCTACTTCTCGCTCCTCTCGACACTCCGCCAACGAGCACACCGGCCTCCAACGCGCGGAGCGTCCGTTCGGCAAATCGTCAAGTCGTCCATAACATAATGATCTCGTTTTCGTTCTTTATTTGTTTGGCTGTTGTTTAAAGCGGCAGCGTCAGACGCTGGTGCGTGAGAGCGGCGAGGGGCGGCGGTATGTCTGGGAGAAGGTGTCAGCAAGGAGCGGGTGACGGGCAGTGGGATAAGGGAAAGAAGAGGTAAAGGTAAGGGGAGGGAGAGGGAGAGAGAGGAGGGGAGGCGCGGGTGATGCGGATACAGAGCGGGATGCAGACGTTGATGACGTGTCCGCCGGGGTACAGCCAGATGTAGGAGGGAGAGGGCGGTGGAGGCGCAGAAGGAGGTCCCGAGGTGCGTCGCGGGATGGATGAAGGAAGGGAGGGCAGGGGAAGGGCAGAGGATGGGGCGAGTGAGGAAGGCGCGGGTGATGGTAATGACGTGTCGGCTGGGATGCGCCGCCGCCGGGAGGAAGGGAAGGGACAGGGAGCGCGGTGGGATGTAGGAGGGGAGAGGAAGACGACGGGCGCGGAAGGCCGAGGTACGCCAGGGAGGGAGGAAGGGAGAGGGTAGCGATGACGTATGTGGAGGCATATTGTGGAAGCATATCGGGAGGCGATAAGGGCGGGCGAGCTGTGCATGTAGCACGGCAGCGGCACACCCCGCCGAGGAGGAGAGACGACAGGAATTGGAAGTGAGGGTTGAGTGAGGGTGGGCGCAGAGCCAGGCGTATATGGGGTTTTGATTGATCACAACCGTTGTGATGAGCGAAGCGTCGTGATCAATCACTACCTCTGGTGACCTATGAGTGGTGATGCATCACTCCAGCATTCAACGATGTGCGCCCAGCGCACTGCGCGCCCCTGCGCGGCTGGCACTCGGCTGGGCGCTAGCGCCCCTTCCATCAAAAATGATCCCCTCCCGTCGCTGGTCCGTGCGTTGGGCGCTCCCGCCTTCCCAAATGGGCCTTTATTTATGGTTGTTATTATCTCAGTCCTTTCCCGCTCGGCAAAAGCTCCACCAAAAAGCTGCCCCCCCTGCTTGCCCCTGCGCTCGGAGCTCCCCAACTGTAGGCCTTCCTGGTTCCTCTTACCTCCCCTTCCTGCCAAATGCGCTCCTTCTAGTGCCCCGCGCTCTGCCTCCTCTGCTGTTGTCCGCTCGGTTTCCCAGCTTCGCCTGCGCCGCCCGCCACTTCCTGGCCTTTCCGCTTCCCATACCCAATGGTACAGTGGCTCTGCAACATCTATCACTTGCACCTACAAGCGCCGTCGCTCCCCGCCCTCCGCTCCCCGCCCGCCGCGCCCCGCCGCTCCCCGCCCTCCGCTCCCCGCCCGCCGCGCCCCGCCGCGCCCCGCCCATCGCTCTCCGCTCCCTGCTCCCCACCCGTCGCGCGCGCGCTTATCTTACCGCAGCCTTGGACCGCCATGCAGTTATTTACAATGCGGTTATTTCACGCGCCGTGCTGCGCCCCGCGCCCCATTTCCCCCTGCCCACCCGCCGCTCCCCCCTGCTCCGCGCCCGCGCTTCGCAAACCGCTACCCTGAAACATTCCTCACTCCGTGTGATGGACTCCGGCCCGCCGCTCAGTGCGCCGCCCGCCCCCCGGTCCCGATCCCCTTTGTTCCTGCCCCACCGCTTTGTCTTATTTATCTGCGGCCATCAACTGTAACCCAAATTATTATGCCTTTTGCCCCAGGTTCTATATGGCCGCGTGGCATAGTGGTTAGTGCTGCTGACTGACTTGAACTAGAAATGGAATCATGTCAGCTGGCTGTGGCTCGAGTCCGGCCGCGCCCGTGTCCAGAAATTCAATTGATTTTTTCCCCCTGTGTTCTTTCTCCAAAGTCTCTAACTTCCCTAAGTCCGCCTCCTTTTTCCCCCCTTTTCTCATACATTTAGCACAGGATATTTTAATCAATTGCAAGTAGCTGGTTGAACAGCGAAGTAAAAAGTAGTAAAAAATATCAGAACAGTCCGTTGAAGGACACTAACTACAACGCGCTGGTGGAGCAGCGCGCCCAAAAGGAAACGATGTCCGTTGAAGGACTCAGCTAAAATACACCGCAATCGTCTCTATTTCCTCCCCCGCGACCTGAGAGTATGATGTTAGTCTGAGAAAGGAAAATAGTATATTCTGTACCTCTTTGTAGCCCGAGACCCTTCTGCCTCGTCCATCGCAGCGCGCTTCTTAGACGCCCCCGCCGCATGCAGATTCTTCTGTGGTCCCCGTGTCCCCTTGCGTACCGGCTCCGGCACGCTCCCGTCCGCCCTCTCCGGCACCTTCCGCACTCGCGAACTACTTGCTCGTCCTCCCGGCGTTTTCATCGTGGTGTCGACATCGATAGACAGTGGCTGATTCGTCACGTCCTCCAAAGCACCGCCCGCACCCGCTTCCGCTACCTCTGCCTGCGCCTTAGGCGGGCGTCCCCTGCGCTTCGGCGCAGCAGCTGTGGCGTCCGCATCAGCCGCGGCCCCTGTGTCGCTCGCGTCGCCCAGCGCTTCCGCTACCTCTCCCAGCGCCTTAGGCAGGCGTCCCCTGCGCTTCGGCAGGGCAGCTGTGACGCCCGCGTCCTTGACTGACGCCTTCGGCTTCGGCTTCGGCATCGGCTTCGCAGCTTTCGGCGGGGCGGGCTGTCTAGCCGCGGGACGCGACTGAGGCAGATCAAAGCGCCCATCGTCGTCGCTATCAGTTGAGGTGTTGCCAGCGCGTGCGGATCCCTCGGCTGCTGCGGCGTTTTCCCCACCCGTCCCAGTGCCCGCGCGCATGATGTTCGCGGCGACTCCCACCGTCTGCGAGGCGCCAAGGATGTTTTTTAGCGCCTGCGCTGCCCGGGTTGGGACGGGATCGACCGTTGGACGAAGCGGGCTACTCCACGCTGACGCCTTCCTGCGTACGCTTGCAGGAGAGGTCAAGGGGATCGAAGGAGCTGACGCTCACCTCCCACTCGAGTCAAACGCCCTGAACAGCGCACTCGGCCGGTATATGCTGCCGCCTGTCTCGGGCTTCCCCGCACCGTTCGCACTCGCCGAGCTGGGGCGTGGTACGGGGCGTGGCACGGGACGCGTAGGCAGCGCAGATGGGAGCGTGAAGGTGGCTGGGGGCGCAGAGGAGGGAGGCGAGAGCGAGGGCTGTGTGAATATGGATCCGGGCGCCGATGAGAACGAGAAGGTCGATGCGGGTACAGAGGGGGGAGGCGGGAGCGAGGGAAGTGTGAATATGGATCCGTGCACCGATGAGAACGTGAAGCTGGATGCGGCGACCGAGGAAGGAGGCGAGAACGAGGAAGGTGTGAATGTCGATCCGGGCGTGGACGAAGATGGTGAGGAGGGAGATGTGAATGTCGATCCCACAGGCAGCACTGTTCCAGGTGGCGAATACGCCGCAGACGGCAAGCTGTAGGAAGTCGCGTCGAGCGACTCAAAAGATGTGTCCAAGCCATCGCATCCGCGCGCCGCATCCACTGACACCATTTCCGTGCCCCCCATCGCCGCCGCCGCACCCAGCTGCATTCCCCACTCCTGCGCCTCCTGCGACCCCCACCAGTCCAGGGAGCCACCCCCACCATCCTCTGCATTGAAGCAGTCCCCTTCGCCACCCACAGGCAAAGCCGCCGACGGGTCGAAAGCCGCACCGCTGTAGGCGTTCCCGAAGTCCATACCCACTCCATTCCAGTCCACCGGGGGTACAGCAGCATCCACTCCCAATACGAAAGCCGTCGGGGACAGGGGAACGGGCACAAAACCGGCGTCTGATAGAGGGACAGACGTCGGTGACGCTGGTACAGACTGCGCCGGGGGAGATTCCGGAGAAGATGGCGAGGGAGAGACCGTAGATGAAGCAGGCGACGCTGCCGCGGCTTTCTTCTTCCTCTTCTTGGGCTTCGGCATTCGCTTTGGCTTCGCCAAAGGCACCTCCGCATCGTCGTCTGATTCCTCAGGAGCTTCGGAAAGTTGAGATACAGTAGGAGGGGTAGACTCAGGCGCAGCTGGCCGCGGAAGAGCGCGCGAGTCACGGACATCAAATGCTGCAATTCACAATTTAGACACGTCAATAGTCGACTTTAGCCAACTTACGATAGATTAGCATCAAGAATTCCTTGAAACGGTCGACAATCTCTTCATTGAAGTTTGGGCAAGCATGGCGGAAGGTATTTCCTTGAGGCGTCTCGCCAGCGCAGATTCTAAGTGCTCATGAGTCAGCACTTCCAAATTGGGCCAGCAGAATTTAGCACTTACACTTTCACAATCAACGCGCCGTTGTGGCGGGGGCTCGGTCCCCCGCTGATGCAGACGGATGCCCACCCCGCTGCGAGGTTACTGGCATGGGCCGCTTCCCCGAACATGGCGTCCAGCCCGTCGATCATAGCGTTCTCAGTACAATGCGCCTCTACACCTGGGGCACGACGTACCTCTGGTATTCCTCTGGGGTTTTGTCCTCTCCAGAGCTTCCTACCATCTCTTCTTCTCTCTGCCTCTCCCTCAATTCCTCCCGTTCTCGCTCCACTTCCTTTCGCACGGCCTCACGCTCTTCGTCCGACGCGTTAGCCCACAACTCCGACACCACGCTCGTCCTCAGCTGCATCCGAGCCGCCCGCGAAGCCTTCACATGGCCCTCCTGCTCCTCCAGCGCCTCCTCTTCGTCGCTCTCCTCCCCTGGAGCCTCTGCTGCCCGTCTCGCCGCCTCGTTCATCGAGTCGAAGCCGCGCTGCGAGAGGGCTGAGCGAATCTTCGCCTTGTTGCGCTTCTGGAAAACTTCGACTGCATGGTGCACGCGACGGCCCGATTTACGCGCCTTCTTCATTAATGCAGTCGCTAGAGGCGATATCGTGACGCGTGGGCCCACAGGCCCCGCGCGGATTTTTTTTGCCTCGCGCCTGAACCAGCTCGCGAGTTGCTATGGACACGTCAGACCCATCGCCTTCAATATATTCTTCCCCCACTCACTTTCTTGCGCGCTTTGATTCGTTCGCCAAGGAGCGCGAGCTCCTCCACGGTCAGCGGACGCGCCGCCTCGGAGTTGGCAAGCGGCAGTCCGAGCGCTGCCTGCTCGGAGAACTGGTGAAACCAGCCCTCCTCCATTGCGGGCCAAAACAGGTGTAACTTCCTCTGAGCGTGCCGGCGGATATAGTCTGGCATCTGCAGGTCAAGATACGCCTGCTGTGACCTGGTAGTCCAGCGTTTGGGGGGCATGGCATAGGTTTCTTGCTCTATGCGTATGTGCGTGCAGGTGAGTCCACAATCAAGTCGAGAAAATGTTCTAAACACACCACCTCGGACAGATGTTTGCACAAATCTTTTTTTCCGACACAAACTTCCTCCAAATTCACCTCGCCTGGCCTCTATCTCCCGTGAAAACATTCGCCTCGTACAAATTTCACAGCGATCCCCTTTAAACAAATACATTTCCCTCCGATCCGCGCCCAAATCAAGTACACTCCCGATTCGGTCATCCCAACATGGGTCGGGTATCGGCACCCGCGATATCGATGGATCGCCAGCTGATGCGAAAGTTCCTATCGTTCCCCTTCTGGCCGCTCCCTTCGCCTTATCTTCCCTGCGCCCAACAATTCCTGCTCACCACTTTCTCCCACTTTCCCCCCTTCTTTTTTCGCCATGAACACCACCCCCACCGCAATCAGCGCCGCCAACCCTGCCGAAGAGTTGGCTGCGCTCATTGCCCACGTCTCCGCCCTGTCCAAGTTGGCTCTGTCCATGACCAAGCACTGTATCGAGATCCATGGTGAGTCGAACGTCCCTCGTTAAAACCCCCCACCTAACTTGCTGCCAGATGCGATCCCCAAAGTTGTGGCTTCCCAAGTCGCGGCTGCCCTTGCCGGTACCCTCCTTATGTCGATCGCTTTCATGTCTATGGCTCACATAGCTGATCGCCTTCAATTAGCCCCCGCTCCTCAGTTCATCGAAGGTGGAGCCATAACCCCCGCTAATTTGGCAGCTACACATCCCCCCGGCCATGGCGACCACCAATCCTGGTATGTCGTCATCGTCGGACGTGAGCCTGGGATGTACCGCAGCTCGTACGTATTCCCTCCCCACTCCCCAAGTCCCTCCCGGCTCACCCCGTATTCCAGGACGGAGGCCGACGCTCAGGTCAACGGCGTCCCCGGCCAGTTCCGCCAGAAGAAGGCCAGTCGCGTCGAGGCGCTGTCCTTTTACCGCAGCAAGTTCAACACTGGCGAGGTCACCAAGCTCACCGAGATCACGCTGTAGTCACCGTATTTGTAGCTGCTCCAATACATTTCTTTGCCGCTTGTTTTCCGTCATGTGCCTTTCCGAAGTAAAATACCATATTTTGCGAAGCAAAGTAAATTATCTTCTAATTATCCTCAGTTCCTATTCAGACCGTATGTATGGGGATCCGGGTAATCAGTGGAATGCATATACATTAATCATTGATTGTCGGCCCGCCTACCACCCATCGCGCTCGAACAGGAGTCGTTCCACCATGCGGTCCGTCGCAACGCTGCTTGGTTGATTAGATGAGCCCTTGCCATGATCGAAACTCACTTTTGCGCCAGCTCCTCCATAGCCTTTGCAGTCGCCAAATCCCATCCATCGTCGGCGTCGCGAACACGGTGCCGCCAAGTTCTCACCCTGATGTACGAAGCAGTACCCATCAGGAGGTATTGTGCACGTTCCAGGGGTGGTAAATCGTCCCACATCATTACGTCGGATAGCAATTTGTCACTGAACGGCTGGTCGTTCAGCTTGGCAACTGCGGCCCGTGCCTGGGACACCCGCATCAACTGATGGGGCGGGATGTCGGTTAGCGTGAACAT